AGTGAAGCTAGCCAATCCCTAAAAAACAAATGCCAAACGTCTTCTTTGATATAAGGAGAGTAACTAAGATCAGAGTAGGGACGAAGAGCAGGAGAAGAAGATTAACATTTAACAGGGATGAGAGGTGGGAGGGAAAGGGAGAGAGAAGGAAAATTGCATGGTAATGGAAGGAGACCCTCAGGGTTATACAGTGGAGGAGGTAGAGAGAGAGGAGGGGAGGGGAGGGGAGAGGTGGGGAGGGGGGAGGGTGGAGGATGGGAAAGGCAGCGGAGCACAACAGACACTAGTATGGCAATTTGTAAATCAATGGATGTGTAACTGATGTGATTCTGCAATCTGTGTATGGGGTGAAGGTGGGAGTTCATAACCCACTTGAATCAAAGTGTGGAATATGATATGTCAAGAAATTTGTAATGTTTTGAACAACCCACAATAAAAAATTTAAAAAAAAAGGTAAACTTGAGGAGATTTTATCAACAATTATTGCCATAACTAGAACTGCCATCCCTCATATCTTCTCTATAAAGTATATGCAGTAAAAAATAATCACACAGAAGAGTAACCAAAGATTTTATATTCTATCACCTCTGTGGATACATGAAAAGATGATCACAATTTAGTAATTCAAATATTCCATCAATATAGACTTAAAAATAAGTTAAATAATAATAAATTGGCCTATTAATCTCTTAAGTTATACAGCGTATAAAGTGTGAATTTGGAGGGAATAGATAGGAAGTACCTATCACTCATAATGTTAGAGTGATTATTAGAAAGTAGAAAGAAAAATCTAATTTAAAAATACTGAAAAACTTTAATGATTAAAAGAAAGTGAAATCTCATCATTTATTCAATATATACTGATCACACAGATATTAGGAGCATGGCTCTAACCTACTGGCTTTAAAGAAAAGAACAATAAGATGGATATCTCTCTCCCCTGCTTGCAATTTAGCAGGGGAGATATTCAAGTAATTGAGTGTCTTATCCCATTACCTATTGCTATAACTGAATACAAGAGAACAGGCAATTTCTAAAGAGTAGAGGTTTATTTCATTCATGGATCTGGAGTCTGAGAAATTCAAGAGAATGGTATTAGCATCTGGTAGTGGGCTTCCTGCAACATCATAACCTGGTGGAAGGTATCTCACGACAAGACACAGCAAGTGTGTTAGCTCAGGCCTACTTCCTCTTCTTATAAACCAATTAGTGCCATCATGGGGCCCCACCTCATGACCTTATCTGACCCCAATTACCTTTCAAAGAACCCACCTCCAATTATTATTAACATATAAATTTGGGAATTAGGTTTCCAAAATGTGAATTTTTGGTGATATATTTGAGCCATAGCAAAAAGTACAACATAGAAATAAAATTATGATTGAAGTCATAATTGAAGAGTATTGAGCAAAGAGAGTCTCTAAGTGGGAAATGTAATCTCATTTTAAATAGCAGGGAATGTCTCCCTGAGAAAGTAGTCTTTAAGACAGTATCCTAACCAAATGCAATGGATTCTCTTTTTGGTGAATGTGAAGCTACTAAGCATGACCAGATGCTACTAAGCATGACCAGAAGCTACTAAGCATGACCAACATTGAGTATGGAGAGCACTGGAGTTGTCTGAAAGGTAATACTACCTCAAAGGATGAAGCATGGGGATTTTGTATGGGGAGCCTACACATATTCATATAGGCAGGCATTTAAGGGGCAGCAAATTCCAATCATGCTCAATTTAGGATATGCATTCCTAGATATAAAAACCAACTACCTGAAGGCAGTGGAGAGTGACCAAAACCAAGCAGAACCTGAAGGAAAGTGAATCCATGAAAGGAAAAAACTTCACTGGATGAAATTCATGTACACATGGCCTTTTGCCAGAGGGTACTGACCAGGCCAGTGACATTGGCAGCCAGAATTCAAACAGAAAGCCACAGTCATATTGGCATTAGGAATTAGAGGACGAAGTTCGGGACTATAGCAAGGCTGAAAAGTGAGGTGGGGGGAGCAGTCATGAAATGGTATAATATTCACTTACAGTAGAAGTACCTAGGAGTAGTCATAAAAAAGTAATATACAAAGGAAAGTCAAGATACTGATTGTTAAATTATTCCTCATGTTACTTTATGTAAAATAACAACAACAAAGAAATATGAAAGTAGGTGAACATAAAATGTAATAAAACATTTAAAAACTTGTAGAAAAGGTAGGATATGATAAAAATACACAACTTCTTGCATCCCAAATACTCCACTATAGTGGGGTATGATAATATGCTGGAAATATTCAGAGAATTAGAGGTTATCAAAAATTCCCTTAACTTTATTTAAATTTTGCAAAAATAAAATGAATTGTTCTTTCAAAAATAAAAGGAATTCTGGATTTTTATAGATTTTTCAATACAAAATAAAAAGAAATAATTGTGGGTTTTTGTTGTTTTTTGTTGTTGTTGTTGTTTTGTACTTTAGATTTAACCCAGGGGTGCTTAACCACTGGACCACATTCCCAGCCTTGTTTATTTTTCATTTTGAGACAGCGTCTTGCTAAGTTGCTTAGGGACTTGCTCAATTGCTGAGACTGGCCTCCTACTTGTGTTAGGGACTTGCTCAGTTGCTGAGACTGGCCTCCTACTTGTGATCTTCCTGCCTTAGTCTCCTGAACCACTTGAATTACAAGAGGGCACCATTGTGCCTGGCTTGATCATATTTTTATATGAAAAATAACAGATATAATGTGAACTAGAATTTCTTAACTAACTGTGTGTATATGGGCTGTGTGTGGGGGATCTATTTTTTTTCTTAAACTCTGAAATTACCTCAAAAAAAGACTAGGTTTTTGTTTTAATACACATGTAGAAATTAGAAATGATGAATTCAAATTCCTAATGACAATTTCAATATCAAAACCATTTTTTTTAACATTTAAAAGAGTGATCAAAACAATATAAGTTTGTTAATACGTTGATAATTCATCTCAACTTGATCATTTGAGAGGCAGGTTCTCTATTTGTGTTAAATGAATATTCTGTAGTTTTTACTTCTCTCAGCACAAAGACGCATAGTTTAGTTTATAACAGAACTGAATATAGTAACAAAATACTTTATTCTAACTGGATTTCCTTCATCTTTTTTATTGTAATTAAAGTGATTTTCTTATTAAAAGAGAGGCTTACATGTTTTATATATTTTAACCAAAAAAGGAAGATTATATTATTTTGTTACCATATGAAAGCTACCTTGAAAGAAAATACATTTCATTGTAAATTTTAGAAACATTTCCAGTGAGGTTAGGAACAAGATAGACATTCCCACTAATGTCACCAATATTCAATTCCATTCTGCAAGGTTTAGTCAGGCAGTAATAAGAAGAGGAAAAAAGAGATGTAATATTTGAAAAAGAAGATATGATACTCTAATTTTGACAGACAAAATACAAGTCTATATAAAAAATTTAAAAGAATCTAAAGATAAATACTAACATAAATAAAAGCTTCAACAAGTTTGCCATCTATGTTCAATAATATTCCTACACACTAGCAAGAATCATATAGAAAACTAAATAGAAACAAATATTATTAACGACTGTAAAACTCTTAACAATAACAAATGAAAAAAAATGTGTGTTGTATATTGATCTATGATTAAAAGGACAAAAGTTTAAATATTTAATAGAAGACAGGAATAAATGGACTGATAAATCATGCTTATAAACAATTAATGAGATAAAGATATGAAATCATGACATTGTGATATAAAGCAGGAGTCAGACAACCATGGGCCCTATCTGGTTTATATAAAATAAATAAATATTTACTTGAAAACAGTTGTGTTTATATACCTTTTACTTATTCTTTGTGGATGTCTTTGTGCTGCAATAGACAAATTACAATGTAGACTAACTCTTTGTGTGTATATGGGCTGGGGGGGGGTGTCTATTTTTTTTCTTAAACTCTGAAATTACCTCAAAAAAGACTAGGCTAAGCCTCAGACTTTATTGTTTATCTCTTTACAGAAAACATTTGCTAACTCTTAATCTACAGCAGTTAAAAGTATTTAGCATCAATAGAAAAAGAGGTAAATAGACCAACAGAACAGAATAAAGAGATAAGAAACATGGAGGCTGCTTTGTTTATGACATGAGACATGATATTAGTGGAGAAAGTATTATCTCTCATAAAATGTCTAGAAAAATCAACTATTAGAAAAATAATTTAAAATTAAAATCATAAAATTACAATATCATTTTATATCAGCACAATAATTCTTAAAGTTTTAAAATATCCGAACATTAAAAGACTTAAAATTTAGATGAAAATACAGAAAAATACTTTGAAGAAATCAAAGTAAGAAATATTTCTTAACATTTTATGGATGATATTTATATATACACTTTTACTATTAAGAATAAAAAAGTCCCTAGTGGATGAAAAGATCTTTTAAAACAATGAAATGTCAAGCTGTACACAGGTAGAAGATAAATTAACAAAACAATGAACCAT